TTGGGGGGGTTCAGGGGGTTTAGGGTTTCGGAGTTTGGGGGGGTTTAGGGGGTTTAGGGTTTCTGAGTTTGGGGGGGTTTAGGGGGTTTAGGGTTTCTGAGTTTGGGGGGTTTAGGGGGTTTAGGGTTTCTGGGTTTGGGGGGTTTAGGGCGTTTAGGGTTTCTGAGTTTGGGAAGTTTAGGGGGTTTAGGGTTTCTGAGTTTGGGGGGTTTGGGGGGTTTAGGGGGTTTCTGAGTTTGGGGGGTTTAGGGTTTCTGGGTTTAGGGGGTTTAGGGGGTTTCTGGGTTTAGGAGGTTTAGGGTTTCTGGGTTTAGGGGGTTTAGGGGTTTTCTGGGTTTGGGGGGTTTAGGGGGTTTGGGGTTTCTGGGTTTGGGGGGTTTAGGGGATTTCTAGGTTTAGGGTGTTTCTTGCTTTGGGGGGTTTAAGGGGGCTTGGCAAGTGCGTGTCGGGATTCAGCATAGGGGTTCACGTTCCCGACGGCACGCGTACGTTGTTGACGAGCTTCGATGGATCTCTTGTCGGGCGTGATGGCATTCTCAGAAAACTCTTGCATATACCTCGATTTAAAGCAGGTTCCTTTATTGTCGTCGGATGTCTCGCAGCCCAGACTAACGGAAGGGAGTTTCAAGCAGTGGTATCTGCGTCATGCCTTGCTAAGCACAAGCCATGTGCTGTGCTACGTCAAAAGCCAAAGTACGCCGGACCCTGTAAACCCCCGAGCTCAAGCCTTTGGGTCCATTTTTAGGTCCCCAATATAGTACGGCACCCTTATAAGAAGGACCCCCAAAGGGATCCTAGTTTAGGGAATTACGCAAATGCCGACGCAGTTTCCGGCTGCAGGTCAGTGAGAACAAGCGAATCACGCTCACCTTGAAGAAGAAAGTCTGCGCCTTGGTGCTCTTTGCTGCCTCCGGGCCGTTTCTGGGTCCTGATGGTCCCGCTTGTCTACAAGGGCTAGCTACTCTGAGACTCCAATATCCCTTAATGAAGGAATATACCTTAAATCATATTAAGGATCCTACTATAGTTTAAGGAATATTCCTTAGTCCTTAATTAAACCCTAAACCCTAAACCCTAAACCCTCAACCCTAAACCTTAATTAAGGGATATTGGAGTCTCTGGGCACTTACAACCAAGGAGGCCTACGCCTGGCTGAAGCTGCTCAAGCCAGACGCCGGGACCTCGTCTTGATTGGGGTTTAGGGTTTAGGGTTTAGGGTCCAAAGGTTTAGGGTTTAGGGTTTAGGGTTTAGGGATGATTGTGTCTTGAGGGCTGAACATGGGCAGTTCTCTAAATTAGTGCCCCTTATTGGCGCCCAAAAGAGTACGGCACCCGAAACAAAAAGACCCTAAAAGGGGGCCGAATTTGGAGAACCACCAACATGGAGATAGCTTCGCAAGACGCTCAAGCTCAACGCCCTGCAGTGCCGTCTCAGCCCCATTCCTTGCTAGGCATGACGTCGGCAGGGGCAACCACGGCCGCGTGGCGCGGGCTCTAGCCGAGCCCGGCGCCCACGGCTTCCACGGAGGTTTTTCGTGGGTTTGGGGGAGATCATGTAGGGGCCTTAAAAATTAGAAGAAGGTTTTGGGGGCTCCTTGTTATAATTGTAGTATAGTATACCCCAAACCCTATTCTAATTAGTGAGGCCCCTATATTACTCTACTGGTAGCTTCTTGTAGGGGCTCCGCGCAGATAGCATGGAGAGGGAGCCGTCCTGCCGCTCTTGTTCTTCATCGTCTCACATCCAGTACCCTAGGCCCTAGTCCCTACACCCCTCAACCCCTAAGCCCCAAACCCCTACACCCGAAACCTTAAACCCCGAGCCCCTAAACCCCCTAAGCCCCAAAGTCCCTAAACCCCTAAACCCTAAACCCTAAACCCCTAAAGCCCCTAAAACCCTAAACCCTAAACCCCTAAACCCTAAACCCTAGACCTTCTTGTCTGGTCATCTTGCGGCTCCCTCTTCTGTCAGAGACCTGGACCAGGCCCAAAAAGGCGATAATCGTGGAAAAAATGCACAGCGTACCTTTTCTTGGTGTTCTTCTGGTTGGCTCTTGGGACTTTAACTTTTTTGGGGGTTTCTATATGAACTATAGTAAGGATGCCAGAAGTTTAACTTTCAGGACGGGGTTCAGAAGTCAGCCAAGTTTTGTAAGCATTGCCGAAGAGGGAGTTGGGTTTGGGGTTTAGATTCTAGAGTCAGGAGTCTAGGAGGTCTTCATTAAACATGACTAGCATCCCTGATAGTCTCTTTTGTTAGTAGTTATGTTAGTTAATAGAGGGGCCTTAACAATTACCTATACTATTTTGGGGGCTTCCTTATTACAATTATAGTATAATATACCCCCAAAGCCCTGTTCTAATTATGAAGGCCCCTATATTATAGAAAAGTGTGCCTTCCTTGAGTTTTGATACTTTCCTCCATTGCAGGAGACCTGGGGCCCATGCCCTGCTGAACCCCAAGCCCTAAACCCGAGAACCCTAAAGCCTAAAACCCTAAACCCTAAAGCCCTAAACCCGAGAACCCTAGAACCCTAAACCCTAAACCCTAAACCCTAAACCCTAAAACCCCAAACCCTTAAGCCCTAAAGCCCTAAACCCCAAAACCCTAAACACCAAACCCGAGAAAGGCCCCTAATTCCGGTTCTTCGTCCGACCTCGACTTGCCTAGTCTTAGTTTCGTTTTTGCATTCTCACCATTCTGAATGTAGCTCTTCTTGTAATACTATAGGAACCCAAGTAATTGCCAGTACTATTGGGGGTTTAGGGTTAAGAGCTAATGATCAGAGACTGGGTTCAAAAAGGGTTTAGGGTTGGGGGGGCTCCTTATCATCATGATAGTATAAAAAACTCAATACCCTATTCTAACTATTAAGGCGTCTTCATTATGCATCTTCACCACCGTGATGCCGCGCGTCTGACAGCAACTGATTTCCGAGGTCAGCAGGGGTTCGCAACACGTTCGGGAGAACCGCGCAGTTGTCGTCTCATCATAGCTCACCACCAGCACCTTCCAAAAATTACGCAGCTCTGCGAATTCACCTCCTGAAACACTCCGAACACAAACCAAACCATCGTACATGTGACGGATGTTTTAGCATCGTTCGGGCATTGAGAGCAGCTGTTGCACTGCAATCTGGCAAGAGTGCGTAAACCCTAAGCCCTAAACCTAGCTCACTGCTACACCTTCCTTGAATGCCCTGGACGGAGCCAGCCTGCAAACGGGAGTTCCGGAAAACAACGGGATCCTCGCTATAAGGACCCCCAAACAAGCCTCCCTGAAAGATGCCCTAGAACCCTGTAAACTCCCATAGGGCCCCCAAAAGGAGCCCTTCGAGAGAGCCTACGAAGAAAGCCACGAACTCTTGATTTCCGATGCCCCTGCGAAGTTTGGTGGCTCGAGACGTGGCGGGGTAGGAGAAAGGTCTACTCTGTTCCTCGAGGAAAGATGGCGATGCAAAAACAGCAGGCTGGGCTGGCCCCTAAACCCTAAACCCTAAACCCTAAACCCTAAACCCCTAAATCCTAAAGGGGCTTCTACAAGGTTCCATCAGCGGCTCTCTAGGGCTTGCAGCGGGAACGCACAGTCAAGGGGTTTGGGGGTTTGTGGGGTTTAGGGTTTAGGGTTTAGGGTTAGAGTTGCTTTCGGCTTAGAGGTTTAGCGAGTAGGATACAGGATTTAGGAGTTTAGGGGCTTGTCGTGTCACGGTGGTCATTGGACCTGCTAGCGATGGCGTGCACAGCACCTGAGACTTCAGCCCTAAACCCTAAACCCTAAACGCTTGGTCGGCATCCGGAAAGGAGGTCAAGTGGCGTAGCCAAGCTCTACGCCCTAAAACCTATACCCTGAGCCCTATAAATCTTAAACTCTGGGTTTAGGGTTTGGGGTTTAGGGTTTACGGTTTAGGAAAAAAACCTTAAACTCTAAACCCATTATCCCCAAACCCCCAATTCCCAGAACCCTAATTAAAACCTCAGCATTCCGAACCCTACCTGCAGCTTCCCAGACACTCCAATATCCCTTAATTAAGGAATATACCCTTAAATCATATGAAGGATCCTACTATAGTTTAAGGAGTATTCCTTAATTAAGGGATCTTGGAGTCCCTGAGCTTCTTCCTCCTTCATCCTTCCAGGCGTCAGCAGGGGTGTCCTTCACCACGGATCTGTCAAACATTGGCAGTGGCCGGTACATCGCTCGGTGAGCAGATTCAGGAATGAGAGGGTTTAGGATTTAGGGCCTGGGGGTTGAGGATGCAGTTTTGTTCTTATTAAGGGTTTAGGGTTTGGGTTTTGTTCTTATTTAGGGGGTTGGAAGTTTACAGGAGAAGTGAGCAGAGATTTCTTGTTTTTCACCGGCATCAAGAGCTTCCTGTCTCTCGGGTGGTAGAACAGCTAGCTGTACCATGTGCTGACCGACGGCGCCCAGCAAGGGTTGATCGTGCCTCGAACTGTTGTTTAGCGAATGGACCCTAAACCCTAAACCCTAAACCCTAAACCCCTAAACCCTAAACCCACCTTTTTCTCTGAGTCACCGCGGGCCAAGGCAAACCCAGATCTTCAACGCCACGCAGGGTGGTGTCCTGGCGGAGGCCGCTGAAGCCGATATTGGGCCGTGGGCTCTGAACTTACGTATCTCCTCTCCGTCCACAACCCCGAAACTGAAAATCCCAGAGACTCCAGTATCCCTTCATGAAGGCTCCTTTAATTATAGTAGGATCCTTAATATGATTTAAGGTATATTCCTTGATTAATGGATAATATTGGAGTCTCTGGAACCCTAAGCACACCCGATCCCATAAATGCAACTCCAATGCACGACCGTACCCGTAGACCTAGAACGCAGCGCGTGCAGGAGCGACGATTGATCGTGCAGCCGGCATGATTCAAGGGTTGGGTGTTTCACAGGTGTGTGGCGATGAGTCTTACGCTGACAGATGATGACTCGTTTAAGGTTTCTTGCATCGTCGTCGTGGTTCGAAGTAGTATCAAGTAGTAGTAATTAGTAGTAAGTAGTCGTAAGTAATAATAAGAAGTAGTAAGAAGTAGAAAGAAGTAGTAGGTAGTAACAGGTAGTAGTAGTCAGGTTATGTAGTTGTAGTAGCAGCAGAACTAGTTGTAGTAGTAGTAGTAGTAGTAGTAGTAGTAGTAGTAGTAGTCGTGGTAGTAGTAGTAGTAGTAGTAGTAGTAGTAGTCGTAGTCGTGGTGGTGGTGGTGGTGGTGGTGGTGGTGGTGGTAGCAGTATCAAGCCCGAAATCCGAAACCCCAACTCGAAGACATTGCCATCCACGTTTTCACCCCTCCGCCCAGGTACCCTAAAGCCTAAACCCTAAAACTAAAACCTACACCCTAAACCCTGAAACCCTAAACCCTAAAACCTTACAACCCTAAACCCTAAAACC